TATCGGGGTAGAGGGTTAGTCACATCTGCAATGCAATAAATGACTGGATACAAGAAATGTACTCAAGGGTGTTCTGTGTAGCTGCTCATTGCCACTTATCCATGTTCTCCCTGTGATGCATGTGTTGCTGTAATTGCTGTCTAAGTGCTGTAATGGGCACATAAGAGCACATAAATTCATATGTCAGCTTGGATTCGTCGACACAGTGTTTAGGTCTATTATGCTCTGAGTAAATAATCCACTCTTGACACCCTGCATTTAAATGTTATTAATTAGACACCGTTAATGACAGTGGCGATGTAGTGTGAAGGTCTGATTCGTCCAAATGTCAGAGCAGCTCCTGCTCGGTTTGCTGGCTGGCTGCTCCCTCCATCCCGTTATTTCTGTTTATTTGCCCGTAGCCCTTTTGGAGATTCATTTTTAATGTGAGGTACGCTAAAAGGCGGAGCACTGGATCATCGCTATATGCAGGAGTGCATTAACTTAGCTCTTGTGTGTGTATGTGTTCTTGTGCGAATGCCCCATGCTATTTATTTTATCCTTCAAGCCTTCTGTTTTTGTCAGTGAGAGTCGACGCCGCAATATGCGCCAGCTTAGATAAAAGTAAATTGTGTATTATTAGGAGAGGGCACGCACCGCATGTAGTGTACTGCATGAATTGGTACAAGTTGTGTGTATCTTCCTGTCCATCAGGGTGTTGCGTGGAGGCATATTTGAATTGTTACTATGGAAACGGCGCACTGCTGTTACACAGAAACACATATCCGGATGAGTCTCTCTCTCTGCTCCCTCGTCTACTGTCACACTTCTTGCCTGATTTTTAAAGATTTTTTTGTCCTAATAGTTTCCCTCCGCTGCCCACTCTGAGTAGATTCATCAGCGCATTTGTAGAGTTTCCCTCCTTTTTTTTTTTTTTTTCCAGATTTGACACGCTGTGGATTGAGACCATTTCTTCCCCTCTTTCTTAGTTTTTCTTCCCTCTCTTAAGATTTCTTTAACCTCCTCTCCACCCTTGGCTCTTCTTTTATCATCTTTCGTGCTAATCATGTCCTCTTTTCATCTTTCCTTCTTCAGCTGTTTCCCCTCCACACCTCCTTCCTTCACTCTCCCTCCTTCCTCTCTGGGTTTCTTATTGCTGTTCCTTCCTCCACCTCCATCTCTTTTGTGTATGTCTCTATTTATTCTCTCCCTCACCCCACTCCTCTCTCTCTCCTCTTCTCTTCTCTCTGCTGCCTTCCTCCCACTCGCTTCCTCCTCCTTCACTCTTTCTCTTTCTCTCTCTCTCAGCTCCGGCGTCCTCGTGGAGAATTCAGCTAGTTTACAATTAGCATGTGCACCTGCAATTAAGCCTGACAAACCTCTGCTAATTAAACCTTTTAGACAAACTGTTTTTTTTTATGCGGGGATCACATTTCCTCCTCTTCTGATTTTTTTTTTCCACACCATCGTTCGGTCTCTTCTCTCTCCGTGCTTGCCCCATTTCCAGTGACGTGTGGTGAGGTTCATGGCTGTTGAGGCACTGACTTCATCAGAATCTGATTTACAAATACATGTACTCTACAGAGTAGCTCATTTGCCATTTGATTGGCAACAGTTTATGAGTTATTTTTCATATCTGCATTCTCTACATGTGTAGAGACTGTAGCCCACAAAACGCATGTTTCATTTAAAAAAAAAAAAAAAAAGTTATTTCGGTCTTACCTTTACCTTTAAATGACGTCCATGTGTTACTTTTTTGTAAAAGTCTCCTTATCTTCCTTTGCTGCACTTGACTTGCTAATTGTAGATTGCACCTAGTTTGCTGTCACTTACTCTGCAGCCACAAGAAGACTGTCTGGGATCAGAGCACCCCCTGCCATGAGGCAAGAGAACTGCCTGCCTCACCTTAAAGCTCTTCTCAGCTGTTTTATGATTGCTCAGCACAGGAAACACGTTACACACATACAGTTGGTGACAAAAAAAAGAACACTATACATTATTATTCCCATCAGCTAAACCATAGAAAGTCATTTCATATATTAAACGTGTTTGAACCATTTTAATGGCAACATCCAGACAGCAGTACGCTGTCACTGCAGGCAGCCAGCGCAGTTAGCGAGGGATTGCGCAATCCAAGGTGAGGCTCAGCTCGCTGCTGCCTCATCGCCTTCTCTTCCAAGCATTTGAATGGGAAATTGCGAAAATTCAGCAATTTTGAATCACTGGATAAATATAACCATTTAAATTATTTTATCATTATATTTTCAGATTCCTCTCAACTTCTCTCTTTGACCTTTGTTTTTCTTGGACTTAGTTTTTTTTTATGCTGACTGGATCTGCTCCGTAACAGATGGGTTGCTCGATAAATAAAAGATCAATAAAGGTGTTGTGTGAGAAAAGAAGAGCTTTTGCTCTGCCCTTCATTTATCCCCCTCCAAAAGTGATCCTCCATGCTTAATTTAGAATACTGAACATATACTCATTAAAGACTGCTCGTCTTTATCTGTGCAGAAAATATACCAAAAATTTGTGCCCCCCAGTTCACTTCATGCGCGTGCACTCAGAAACCACAATTTTCACATCAGGCTATGACTAATTGTATTTCTCCCTGCCTGTCATCGCCCTCTGCTTACATCTTTCACTCTGCCTATCGCTTTCTCTCACTATCTTCTCCATTATTTCTCCTCTACACTTTCCTCCACTGAACCTTTGTATGTCTGCTAATAGAGGAGCAGTAAATAATAGCAATAACAGTAAATGATAGGTCTGCAGTTGACTTTAAAGAGCAGCAAAGGGATCTCAGAGGGGTGGGAGGAAGCAACTTTTAAAAAAATAGGTTTGGAGGGTAAAGGGGAGAAAAGCAATGAAAGAATGGGAGTGAGAGGGTGGGAGGGAGGGAGGCAATGTGGGAGACAAAGAGCAGACTCAGTGAAGCTCAGTCTGAGTGTCTAATGGTCACTTAGCCTGGCAGTGAGTCCATGAAGCTGTGCGGCTGTCAATCTGTCAAAATGCACCCAGTGCAATCCTGAGTCCCTCAAAGCGCACACACACACACATACACACACACACACACACACACACACACATGCGTGCGAGACTCACTATCTCTTCCCTGCTCTGTCTTTGATGTGTGCCACAGGGTTCCTCCGAGCAGCTCACAGCACAGAATAATGGATGTGGCGTTGTCTCTCAGTGTGTGGTTTGATACACAGCTATGTGGGTCACTTAGTTTGGTCTCAAATTAAGGGGTCGAACTCTGTGTTTTCAAACCCTGACCAATACTTGACTTTAGTAACACTATCCATAATACCAAGGCAAGAGCAAATATTATATTTTATATTTTTTACTGAGTAAAACATGTTCAGTCCTAACTATCAGATGAAATAAATCATTTTTTAATACTTATATAATGGTTATAATATTAGACTCTTTTCCTATAGAGCCTTTTCAAAACCAGGATTACAAGATTCTTCAAAAAAAGAGCAACATTACAACAATAGTTCACAGACACTAGCCCTCTGAACTCTGGGAGTTTCTGGGTGTTTTTTCCCTGTCCCCTTTTTCTTCACTGTGGCGAAGTTTTCACTGCAATGTAAAGTCCTGCACCTCTGTGGAAAAAGCACAGCTATGGCTAGATCATGTTTTGTGTTTACTATGACACAGTTATAATACCATGAATCTTAAAAAAGCAACAAAAAAAAATGCACACAGATGTTAGCAATACTGAAAAAAAAGGTAACTACATACTTGACAAGTTTTACCATTTACATTCCGAATTTGTTTTCATACTCATCTGATTTGTGTTGATAAAAGCCTGCAGTTCAGCCAAGTTCAGCAGAAAACTATGAATTTTTGTCATGTGCAGCTGAATCACTACTGGCTTCACAGTTATGCCTTGGAGCAAAAAATTATTATTATTTTTACAGAATCTGGAGGAAGAGGTTTTGTGCAAAAATTTAAATAAGACATTTGGGAAAAAATTATTTTGATTAAACATGATGGTTTTCAGCCCTCTGACAGAATGACGTGTCACAAATAGGTAGTTCAAGGACCATTGGAAAGTTGATAATTCAATAACTCTTTATCTGTTTTTGGTTCAGACAAGTGGTGTAATCGTGTTGATTTTAACGGATAACATTCCTCTTTAATTTGGGGTCAAGGTAGTTAATAGAGAAAGAGGAAATAACCCGAAGAAGAAAAAAATATTTGAAAGAATAAGTAGATATACAGATGTTTACATTTGTGAATAAACATAGCAAATTTAGTTTACTAGTTTGGTAGGAGATTGATAGTTCAACCATTCCATCCATTGCTTGTTTGCTTCTTAGTTTATTTGCTCCATAAGTTATTTTACTGTTAAGTGAGGGGGATTTTGTGCTCTCTTAACATATTAAAAAATATAAATATATAAAACCTATTAATAGCATATGTGACCCATAAATATACTGTTGGTCTGCTGTGTGCCACAAAAACCGCTCCAATCCACTGAGGCATGTCAGACTCTGCAACACCTCTGAAGATGCCCTTTGGCATCTCAGCAGCAGATCCTTTAAGTCCTGTAAGTTGTGAGTTGAAACCGCAGCAGACCACACTTGTACCAGCACATCCTCCAATACCCTGTCTGCGTGGCTCGTCCCCTTTTAAAACCACAGCTGACTGGGAGCAGCCAAAAACCGTACAGCTTCTGAGATGCTCCGTCCCAGTCATCGGCTCTTAACAATTGAGCCCAACCTTGTAAAAGTCTCTCAGGTCTTTACTCCTGGATATTTCTTCGACATCCGCAATACTGACTACGAGAATCATCTGTTTATGGGCTAATATATCCCAGATCATGTGTCATTGTTATTACTCATTTTGTGATTGCTCATAATGTTTTGTCTCATTATTGCAGTCCATTAATGTCTATATTTTTTAGCTCACATTTGAAGTGTCCTGGATATTTTCCCTGGTGTGTTGCATTTATTCTCTCCTACTGTCTTTCCTCTCTTCCTCTCCAGGGACGGCATTTACACTTCTCCACAATGCTTGTCAGCCTCCACCCTTCTCCCTCCCATCTTCAGGACAAGCACTTGGTCTCCCCTGCTTCCTCCCACCATCCTCCTCCTCCTCTTCTGCCTGCGGACCAGTCACCTCATCATCCTTGCCCTCGGCCTCGGCTGACCCTGCCCTTCCTCTCCTTGTCCTTCTCCCTGCTCATCCTCTCCATCTTTCTCCTGCCCGTTTGCGAGTCCCGCAGGGGTGGAGGTCAAGGAACGGGGCCTGGAGGTGCCCCAGGGGGTCAAGGAGGCCAGAGAGGCGGCAGCACCCAGAGGGGCGTTGTCATCCCTCCTCAGTACTCTCCCGGCTCACCGGCGCTACCACCTATCAATCCCAAACTGATCAACTCCCTCAGTATCGCTGTCATCCTGGTGGGCAACTCTAGTGAAGTGGCACTGGGGGCTGGGCTCGAAAAAGAGGACTTCCTCCACATCCCTTACCCTCCCAAAGTCGAGGTGGTCACCATGAACGAGACTGACCCGAAGAGCATCATCAATCGGATCTGCGGACAAATGACGAGGAACTCTCTGCAAGGCGTAGTGTTTGGTGACGACACGGACCAGGAGGCCATCGCTCAGATCTTGGACTTCATCTCTGCCCAGACGCACATCCCCATCCTGGGCATCAGAGGAGGCTCCTCCATGGTCATGGCAGCCAAGGTAAGAAAAAATATCTGCTTTTTATATGGAAAAAGAAAGAAAACATTGACCTGTGACCTACTTGTGATGTAATATTCAATTCAATTCAATTCAATTTTATTTGTATAGCACATATTTACAACAAAAAGTCATCTCATAGCGCTTAACAAAGGCAGAAACACTCAACAATACAAAACATTTGGATTCCCTATAAGCTTCAGCAGTCCACAAGCAGTCTACAACAGTGGGAAGGAACCGAAAACCCCCGCAGGGGAAAAAAAACCTCTGACAGAACCAGGCTCAGGGAGGGACGGCCATCTGCCTCGACCGGTTTGGTGGATATAGGATCAATTCTAAAATTTAGTTTACAGTTAAACAAGTTATTAGAAGTTATTGTCCTTTTGTTCCTCCATTTCAAATGGACCAATGAAATATTCCATTTCGTAGTTGGTGGCGGTAACAGGAGGCATCATGGTGGGGGCAGCAGGATGCACAAGGTGAGGCCTGTGGCTGTAGTTCAGAGCTCCAGATCCAGAGACATCCACCGAGAGAACAGGCGCAGGAGAACCTCGGGGGGAGTCACAGAGTTAGTCATATGTAACGGTGATATACAACTATATAAACATATACATACATACACATATATATAAAGAGTAGAGAAGAGGAGAGAAGCCCAGTGCATCATTGGAATCCCCCCGGCAGTCTAAACCTCATCACTAAGGGACAGCTCAGATGATTCTGAGCAGCCCTATCTATGAGCTTTATCAAACAGGAACGTTTTTTACCTAATCTTAAAGGTAGAGAGGGTGTCCGCCTCCCGTACCCAAACTGGGAGCTGATTCCATAAGACAGGAGCCTGACAACTGAAGGCTCTGCCTCCCATTCTGCTTCTAGAAACTCTGGGAACCACCAGTAGACCTGCAGTCTGAGAGCGAAGGGCTCTGTTAGGATGATATGGAACAATAAGGTCTTTAAGATACGACGGAGCCTGATCATTAAGACTTTTATATGTTAGAAGCAGGATTTTAAATTGGATCCTTGATTTTACAGGAAGCCAATGGAGAGAAGCTAATACTGGAGAAATATGATCTCTTTTATTGGTTCCTGTCAAAACTCTGGCTGCAGCATTCTGTGTAAGCTGAAGGTTTTTAAGAGAATTATTAGGACATCCTGATAATAAAGAAGTACAATAGTCCATCCTAGAGGTTATAAATGCATGGACTAGTTTCTCAGCGTCACTCTGAGACAGGATGCTCCTGATTTTTGCAATATTACGAAGATGAAAGAAAGCTGTCCTACATGTTTGTTTTATATGGAAGTTAAAGGACATATCCTGGTCAAAAGTAACCCCAAGGTTCTTTACTGTGGACCTAGACGCTAAGGCGATACCATCTAAAGTAACTATCTGGTCAGACAGTGAGTTTCTGAGGTGTTTAGGGCCAAATACAATAACCTCAGTTTTGTCTGAATTTAACTGAAGGAAGCTACAGGTCATCCAGACCTTTATGTCCTTCAGACATGCCTGGAGTTTAAGTAACTGATTGATTTCATTAGGGTTCATAGATAAATATAACTGGGTGTCGTCTGCATAACAATGGAAATGTATGCAGTGCTTCCTAATAATGTTGCCTAATGGAAGCATGTACAGAGTAAATAATATTGGTCCTAACACAGAACCCTGAGGAACTCCATAAGCAACTCTGGTACGGCTGGAAGAACCATCATTAACATGAACAAACTGGAATCTGTCTGATAAATATGATTTTAACCAGTTCAGTCCTTTTAAGTCCAATCACATGTTCCAGTCTCTGTAATAGGCTGCTATGATCAACAGTATCAAATGCCGCACTGAGATCCAATAAAACCAGAATGGACAATAGTCCACTATCTGAAGCTAGAAGAAGATTGTTAGTGACCTTCACCAATGCTGCCTCTGTGCTGTGATGGATTCTAAATCCTGACTGAAACCCTTCAGTCAAACCATTTACATGCAGAAAATCACATAGTTGGTTTGCCACGACCTTTTCAAGGATTTTTGAGATAAAAGGAAGGTTGAATATTGGTCTGTAATTGGCTAAAACACCTGGATCTAGAGTAGGCTTTTTTAGAAGTGGCTTTATTATAGCAACTTTAAAAGCCTGCAGTATGTAGCCTGTTAGCAGGGAGAAGTTGATAAAATCTAACACTGTACTGTTCATTAAAGGAAAGATCTCCTTAAACAGTCTAGTGGGAATGGGGTCCAACATACATGTTGCTGGTTTAGAAGAATTAACTATTGATGTGAGCTCTAAGAGGTTCACAGTAGAGAAGCTGTCCAAACACACATCTGCTTCTGTGGGCGCGTCCAGAGCCGCTGTACCTAAAGACATGGTCTGGATTTTTTGTCTAATATTTAAAGCTTTATTTGTGAAGAAGGTCATGAAATCTTCACTGCTGAGAGCTAAAGGAACAGAAGGCTCCACAGAACTATGACTCCTGGTCAGCCTGGCTACAGTGCTGAACAGAAACCTGGGATTGTTCTTATTTTTCTCAATTAAAGACGAATAACAAGCGGATCTAGTATTACGAATTGTCTTTTTATATTTGAGAAAACTATCTTTCCAGGCTGGATAATTTTTCAGAATTATTTGAGCGCCATTGCCTTTCCCATCTCCTTACATTCTGCTTTAAAATACGCAGCTGTTCATTATACCATGGAGCTGTTTTGCTATGATTTTTTGCCTTCCTTTTCAGAGGAGCAACAGCGTCAATTGAAGTACGCAGTAAAGCTGCCGTCCTATCAACCAGATTATCCACTTGTGTGGGACTAAGATTAGAGCTACTCTCCTTTGTGTTGGCATATGGCATTGAAGAAAATAATGATGGAATTGTTTCCTTAAATTTAGTGACCGCATTATCAGATAAACATCTGCTGTAATGGAACGTTTTGGTTGTTGTACAATGGTCAATTACTGTAAATTCAAATGTTATTAAAAAAGAGAAAAGAGTTTTGTTTAAAAACATTAAGATGCTCAATTTCTATGCCATATGTCAAAACAAGATCCAGGGTGTGATTAAAACGGTGGGTTGGCTTATTTACATTCTGAGAGAAACCCACTGAGTCTAACAGTGAACTAAAAGTAGAGCTGAGGCTGTCGTTCTCATCATCTACATGAATATTAAAGTCACCCACTTGACTTCATGAAGTTCAAGATTTTAGCTGGCTCTTATTGTCCAGAGATTAGT